TACTACTACTACTACTACTACTACTACTACTACTATTACTACTACTACTACTACTATTATTATTATTGCAAACGCAAAGAAGAAAAGAAAGAAAGGAAAAAGAAATAAATATGAAGGAACCCTAATCTAAGAAACTCTGCACAGCTGAAGAATATTATACTAATTCAAATTTGCTTTTCTAAGACTTTTCATCAGTTTTTTCAAAATAAATGTTTGTTTGGTGATGACGTTAGTACCAATGAACGTAAACGAATCTTGCGCACAACTTCCTATATTTTATAAGTACACAGAGTAAATATAGTGTGGGAGTTGGATAGGAGTAATGATTTCGATGCATAAAGCAACACGACGTCATGTTAGCCATCAGTGATGAACACCACGCAAATAAGCAAACACTTTTGTTGGTTTTTATCTTTTTTAATGTCATTTTTTGAAAACATTCGGTTAAATTTCTTTTTTTGAATGTACAGAAACATGGACATTTTTTACTATTTACAAAGTGTTCATTTAAAGGGCTAGTGTAGATTTGGCACGAAAACGCGTGCGCTGATTCTGGGACTTGCCTGCGTCATAGTTAGACATGGTAGTCTTAGTATGGTCTAGATAGGTATGGTAAGGTATAGTAAAGATTCGATGCATTACGCGACTTGATTCCAAATTACCTGGCTGGATGGCTTTCTTCTCTTTTAGATAGTAGTTTTATCTATAACATGAGATTTGCTTTTGGGAAGACAAATTTTGCTGACAGCCAAAGAATAATATTTGGATTCACAGTAACTTAGTTTGATTAAACAAGGAACGCTGTCGATCTTGGTCAATGCTTCGTGCATAATGCTAAGTGATTTGTGCAGGGGAGAAAAGATAACGTTTAATTTAGCAATTGCCTCGTACTGAAACTGGGCTATTGGATCAAATGCTCGTACCAGTTCTCACCTCTAAGTAAGCGAGAAAATAAAGTGTACATCAAGTTATTCAAGGCTCAGATCCCCCCCCCCCCCATCCCCTCTTAAATAAACAACGGCTTTTTAGAAAATTAAATTAATTAACCCACAAATCGTAGCCAAATATATTTGTTCAAGACTGATTATTTTTTCTTTCGTTGAAGAGTATAAGTGACCGACTATTCTAATTCATTTCACAGTGGCCGGACGCAGCGATACGAGTAGGTAGCGCCTTCTTTTTCAAAGTATGAACAAGTTAGCCATTTTTTCGGTATTTCTGGTAGGTTTTTCCATTCTAGATGAAGTTGAAAGTGCCTTTAATCTTGACATTTATCAATACCAAAATACGGTCAATCAGTTGAGTGCACTTTGTAATCGCGTAATGGACAGGAGTAACAGCCAGCAACAAGTAACTGCAAAATTGGTGAGCTTCGTTTTTCAATTCTTTTTCTTTTCCAAACTCTTTAAGTGGGGAAGAATAATATTCTGGGTGTCCGGCCTATGGACACAGTCTTTTTTTGATCGAGAAAGCTATGAAGAATTCCAGTTTCGTTATATTTTTAGTAGTTTTTTCGATCGGTATGCTTTTTACACCTGTCAAAGGGTGCCTCCCGATAGATATCGTAGGTAATAGATAATGTTGCAGTGTTTTGCCAGCAAGTATAATATTGAATGGAACTTATCTTTTCTTATATTAAGCGGGCAAAGTCATACTTTTTTTTTTTTTTTTTTTAATTTTTATTTTTTTTATCGCAAAGTTGACGTTTCTGACTGTGCTATGATTTGTTATGGACTATAACTCAGTCAAACGTCTATGTAAGGCATTTTGAATGGTAATTCTAAATGTAGTTTACTAGCGTTAATTTCGTTTATTAGAGAAGTTTAGTAAGACAGCGAAAATGCAATAGTCTAAGAGGGCTTGTTGGTTTGAGCCTGTTACATTAGAACTAATAATAAGACTTTGAATTCGTATCGGAAGACGAGAAGAAATTTGATACAGAGGAGTTTTTAGCACAACAGTGAATGTTAACCAAGACGTCAGAACAGATAATTGAAGAAAAAAAGATTTCTCTTTACATGCAAAGACATTACATCGTTCTTGTTGTATAACAGTGAATGAATCCCCTTGAATGCTGTCTAAATTTTCTCACATTCAAATTTTATTATAGATCAGACTTTGCAAGCAAACTAGAAAGAAGCTATGCTCCGGATTAAATTCAGATGGATGGGGAGATGACAGAAAAAGAGCAATAAAACATTGGCAGAATGCATGAGCCGTGATAACGTGTATCTATAGACAATGGACAAAAAGGCATGCATCTATAAAGAAAATCGAAAAAATGATGAATATATCAACCAAATGTAACATAGTATAGGAAATTAAAAAAAAGAATTTATTATTGTAACGCATTACAAACGACAAATAAAACGTTCATGTTTGTCGTCGATGTTAACTCTACTCCTAATCTTGATTTTGAAAACACAAAAGATTTCATGGGATGTTTCTTACGTATTAGTATTTCTCTACACTAAGGATAGCTTTTTGCGGCGATTCAATAGTGGAAAAAATGTCGTTATCAATTTAATAGAAGTATTGCAAGCTTTGGTTACCTCTGGTTAAATATTTTGTCAAGGGTTTGTTTTGGTCAAAAGCAAACCTTTTCACTCGAAACCGTTGTTGGTGAGTTTAAGGAAGATTGATAATTAGGGTTTTTTTCCGGTTGGATGATAGGAAAAAAAGATTCTGTTGTAGTTGTGTCAATATTTTAATTTCAACTGTTTTAGTTGATCTTGCTTAGTTAAACAACACAGTAGCACAAGAAAATTGGCCATCAAAGAAGTGGGGGGTGTTTTTGYAATGGATTGGATAATTTAATCGTATACATGTATGGTGAGATTTGGGGGTAATCATGCCCAGTGGGGTTCAATTTGACATATGTAAGTGAAGACTGGATAATTTGCGTTTTCATTGCTTTTTATATACTTGAAAGCAATATTAATTTTAGTTAATTATATAGCAACCACAGTGCAGCATAAAGCTAACAGGAAACTTTAAGAAGAAAAACTTGGAAGAGAAAAAGAA